ACAGACAGCCAGACAGACAGACACAAAGACTGGCAGAGACATGCATACATACATACCAGCAAAATTATCCCGGCAAAGCAACCTAACAGCGATGTGTAGAAGCATATCTGAAAGCATTCCCCTTAAGATTCAGATGAAAATCCAGTTGTCGAATTCTGCTGTTCTCGCAGTCGTAGTCGCATTCGCGATGACAGTCGCAGCGGCAACGGCAGTCGCAGTCACAGCCTCAGCCTCAGCCTGCCTCCTCCTCCTCCTCCTCTTTCTCCTGCTCCTCCTCCTCCTCCTCCTCCTCCTCCTCCTCCTCTTCCTCCTGCTCGTCCTCGTTCTCGTCCTCCTCGTCTTGCTCGTCCTCCTCCTCCTGGTGCTCTCTCCTCCTCCTCCTCCTCCTCCTCCTCCTCCTCCTCCTCCTCCTGGTGGTCCTCGTTCTCCTCCTCCTGGTGCTCTCCCCCCCCCTCCTCCTCCTCGTCCTCGTCCTCCTCCTCCTCCCTCCTCCTCCTCCTCCTCCTCCTCCTCCTGGTAGTCCTCCCCCTCCCCTCCTCCTCCTCCTCCTCCTCCTCTCCTGGTCGTCCTCCTCCTCCTGGTCGTCCTCCTCCTCCTGCTCGTCCTCCTCCTCCTCCTGCTCGTCCTTCTTCTCCTGCTCCTCCTGCTCCTCGTCCTGCTCCTGCTCGTCCTCGTCCTCCTGGTCTTGCTCGTCCTCCTCCTCGTCGTGCTCTTGCCCCTGCTGAAAATGTGGCCCAGGAATGGGAGTTCTGGGAAGTCGAAGAGCACGAAGTTGCCTACAGTTGGCTACGGGCATTCAAAATGTGGCCCGGGAATGGAGTTCTGGGAACTCGAAGAGCACGAAGTGGCCTACAGTTGGCTCCGGGCATTCAAAATGTGGCCCGGGAATGGAGTTCTGGGAACTCGAAGAGCACGAAGTGGCCTACAGTTGGCTCCGGGCATTCAAAATGTGGCCCGGGAATGGAGTTCTGGGAAATAGAAGAGCACGAAGTGGCCTACAGTTGGCTCCGGCATCCAAAATGTGGCCCGGGAATGGCGTTCTGGGAACTCGAAGAGCACGAAGTGTGTGACTGTTGCATCCGGTTATTCTAAATGTGGCCCGGGAATGGCGTTCTGGGATCTCGAAGAGCACGAAGTGTGTGACTGTTGCATCCGGGTATTCAGAATGTGGCCTGGGAATGGAGTTCTGGGAAGTCGAAGAGCACGAAGTGTGTGACTGTTGGTGAAAAACGAGCCCGGCACCCTGCCGCCCGGCAACTCCCCAACACCTGCCCGGACCCCCCTGTGGAGTGATCTGTGAGCTCTTTTGAGACCACTAGAAACCTATCAGTCTTCGCTGTTAGGTAAAAAAACAATTACAAATAGACATACAAATACCAACGCAAATACAAATTCAAATACTAATGCGCCTGCAAATGCAAACACAAATGCAAATACGCATGCGTGCATGCACACATGCATACGACCACATACACACACGTACAATAAAAAAATATCCCGGCAAAGCAACCTAACAGCGATGTGTAGAAGCATATCTGAAAGCATTCCCCTTAAGATTCAGATGAAAATCCAGTTGTAGAATTCTGCTGTTCTCGCAGTCGTAGTCGCATTCGCGATGACAGTCGCAGCGGCAACGGCAGTCGCAGTCACAGCCTCAGCCTCAGCCTGCCTCCTCCTCCTCCTCCTCCTCTCTCCTGCTCCTCCTCCTCCTCCTCCTCCTCCTCTTCCTCCTGCTCGTCCTCGTTCTCGTCCTCCTCGTCTTGCTCGTCCTCCTCCTCCTGGTGCTCTCTCCTCCTCCTCCTCCTCCTCCTCCTCCTGGTGGTCCTCGTTCTCCTCCTCCTGGTGCTCTCCCCCCCCCTCCTCCTCCTCGTCCTCCTCCTCCTCCTCCTCCTCGTCCTCCTCCTCCTCTTCCTCCTCCTCCTCCTCCTCCTCCTCCTCCTGGTAGTCCTCCCCCTCCCCTCCTCCTCCTCCTCCTCCTCTTCCTGGTCGTCCTCGTTCTCGTCCTCCTCGTCTTGCTCGTCCTCCTCCTCCTGGTGTTCTCTCCTCCTCCTCCTCCTCCTCCTCCTCCTCCTCCTCCTCCTCCTCCTGGTGGTCCTCGTTCTCCTCCTCCTGGTACTCTCCCCCCCCTCCTCCTCCTCCTCCTCGTCCTCCTCCTCCTCCTCCTCCTCTTCCTCCTCCTCCTCCTCCTCCTCCTCCTCCTCCTCCCCCTCCTCCTCCTCCTCCTCCTCCTCCTCTCCTCCTGGTCGTCCTCCTCCTCCTGGTCGTCCTCCTCCTCCTGCTCGTCCTCCTCCTCCTCCTGCTCGTCCTTCTTCTCCTGCTCCTCCTGCTCCTCGTCCTGCTCCTGCTCGTCCTCGTCCTCCTGGTCTTGCTCGTCCTCCTCCTCGTCGTGCTCTTGCCCCTGCTGAAAATGTGGCCCAGGAATGGGAGTTCTGGGAAGTCGAAGAGCACGAAGTTGCCTACAGTTGGCTACGGGCATTCAAAATGTGGCCCGGGAATGGAGTTCTGGGAACTCGAAGAGCACGAAGTGGCCTACAGTTGGCTCCGGGCATTCAAAATGTGGCCCGGGAATGGAGTTCTGGGAACTCGAAGAGCACGAAGTGGCCTACAGTTGGCTCCGGGCATCCAAAATGTGGCCCGGGAATGGAGTTCTGGGAACTCGAAGAGCACGAAGTGTGTGACTGTTGCATCCGGCCTCCAGAATGTGGCCCGGGAATGGCGTTCTGGGATGTCGAAGAGCACGAAGTGTGTGACTGTTGCATCCGGTTATTCTAAATGTGGCCCGGGAATGGCGTTCTGGGATCTCGAAGAGCACGAAGTGTGTGACTGTTGCATCCGGGTATTCAGAATGTGGCCTGGGAATGGAGTTCTGGGAAGTCGAAGAGCACGAAGTGTGTGACTGTTGGTGAAAAACGAGCCCGGCACCCTGCCGCCCGGCAACTCCCCAACACCTGCCCGGACCCCCCTGTGGAGTGATCTGTGAGCTCTTTTGAGACCACTAGAAACCTATCAGTCTTCGCTGTTAGGTAACTATGAACTCCGATGTAACTACTATATCACGTCGTCTTTAATCAGCGGGCACAAGGAAGCCGGAGCAGGTGCAGGCGCTAGTCGGGCAACGGGCGGGGTTCGCCGGGAGCGACTCGGGCACGAAGGGGCGCGGGGAGAGGGGAGGCGGGGGAAGGACAAGAGCCGCTCAGGACAGGAAGTCCATCGTGGGCGTGCCGAGGAAGGCTGCGATGTGAAACATCGAGAGTATCTCTTCTCCCCGCACCCCCTCCCGTTCCGCAGTGGGAGCGGGCACGCCACGGCGCCTGCGGTGGGAGGGTGGAACGGCTGCGCGTGCGTCCCACCACCTCGGGGCGGCGTGAGGCGATCGTGCGAACTCGTCCATGCTCCAAGCGATTTCCTCTCCTGCTCCTCCATCTTCCTCCCCTGTCCTCCTCCTCCTCCTCCTCCTCCTCCTCCTCCTCCTCATCATCATCATCATCAGCAGCAGCATCATCACCATCACCACCAGCATCATCATCATCATCATCATCATCATCATCATCATCATCATCATCATCATCATCAGCATCATCATCATCATCATCATCAGCATCATCATCATCATCATCATCATCATCATCAGCATCATCATCATCATCAGCATCATCATCATCAAGCATCATCATCATCATCATCATCATCATCATCAGCAGCAGCATCATCATCATCATCATCATCATCATCATCACATCATCATCATCATCATCATCATCATCATCATCATGATATCTCATCATCATCTCATCATCATCATCATCGTCATCGTCATCATCATCACCATCATCATCATCATCATCATCATCATCGTCATCATCATCAGCATCATCATCTCATCATCAGCATCAGCTTCTTCATCTTCTTCATCATCATCAACACGCCTGGCATCATGATCATCATCAGCAGCAGCAGCATCAGCAACATCATCATCCTCATTGACGTCGTCATCAGCATCATCACCAGCATCATGATCATCATTATCAGCAGCAGCAGCAACATCATTATCAACATCAGCAGCAGCATCATCATTCGCAACATCATCATCATCATCATCATCATCATCATCATCATCATCAGCATCATCAACGTCAGCCGAATCATCCTCATCATCATTATCAGCATCATCATCATCATCATCATCATCGTCATCATCATCAGCATCATCATCAGCACCCTGCTCCTCCTCCTTATCCTCTTTCTCGTCCTCTGTCCTCCATGACCTTCCCCCTCCTCTTCCTCCCTCCTCCTCCCCCTCCTCTTCCTCACTCCACCTCCTCATCCTCCTCCTCCTCTTCCTCCTCCTCCTCCTCTTCCCTCTTCAATGTTCCGTCCCCCTCCTCATCCTCCTCCTCCGCCTCCTCCTTCTCCTTATCCACCTGCCGGTCCTCCTCATTAACAACATCAGCGGCATAATCAGCATCAGCATCAGCATCCTCAAATTCACCGTCATCAACACCAGCACCAGCATCAGTTCATTAACTTATTCTTCAACTTCAGCATCATCATCATCATCATCATCATCATCATCATCATCAACAGCATCATCATCATCATCATCAACATCATCATCAGCATCATCATCAGCAGCAGCAGCATCAGCATCATCATCAGCAGCAGCATCAGCATCATCATCAGCATCAGCCTCATCATCACTATCATAATCATCATCGTCATCATCATCAGCATCATCATGATCATCATCATCATCATCATCATCATCACCATCACCATCGCAAAATCATCATCGGCAGCATCATCAGCATCATCATCAGCAACAGCACCATCAGTATCATCAGCATCATCATCAGCAGCAACAGCAGTCGCAACATCAGCATCAGCATCAACACCTGCATCATCATCATCAGTATCAGCATCAGCATCATCAGCATCAGCAGCAGCAACATCATCATCATCATCATCATCATCATCAGCATCAGCATCATCATCAGCACCATCATGATCATCAGCATCAACATCATCATCAGCATCATCATCAACAAGATTAGCCAGCGTTGGCTCCAAATAGATAGGAGGACAGGAAGAGAACGAGCGGAGGATGGGAGGAGGACGAAAGGAGAACGGGAGCAGGACGGAAGGAGAACGGGAGGAGTAGAATCAAGCAAGCGCAAGCAAGCAAGCGGAAGCAAGCAAGCGCAAGCGAGCAATAACAAACAAGCAAGAGCCAGCGATCAAGTGCAAGCAAGAAAGGGCAAGCAAAAGCAAGCAAGCGAGAGCAAGCACAGGCATAGACATAGGCATAGGCATAGGTATAGGTATAGGCATCGGCATAAGCATAGGCATAGGCATAGGCATAGGCATAGGCATAAGCATAGGCATAGGCATAAGCATAGGAGTTAGGGGGGGGGCATAGGCATAGCCATAGGAATTAGGGGGGCATATGAATCAGGGGGGGCAACGGACCAAGCCTATAGGTTTGAGTTTGAACTCCTATAGGGCAAGCCTAATTGGAGAACATCCTCATCATCAGCAGCAGCATCATCATCCTGGTCTCCTCCTTCTCTTCTTCCTCCTCCTCCGTCCTCCATGACCTTCCCGCTCCCCTTCCTCTGTCTTCCTCCTCATCCTCCTCCTCCTCGTCCTCCTCCTGCTCCTCCTCCTCCTCATCCTCGTCCTCCTTCCCTCTTCAATGTTCCGTCCCCCCACTACCCACCATCATCATCATCAGCAGCAGCATCATCCCCAAAACCATAAGAATGATGACATTAAAATGAAAATAATGGCAATAATCATCATCATCAGCATCATCAGCATCATCATCATCATCATCACCACCACCACCACCACCACCACCACCACCATCATCATCATCATCATCATCATCATCATCATCATCATCATCATCATCATCATCATCATCTTCATCTTCATCATCACAATCATCCGCAGCATCATCATCAGCACCATCGTCATCATCAGCATCATCATCATCAGCATCATCAACCTCGTCATCGTCCTCGTCCTCGTCCACGTCATCATCCTCGTACGCATCGTCGTCATCATCCCCATCCTCATCGTCATCTCCAGCATCATCATTATCAGCAGCAGCATCAGCATCAGCATCATCATCAGCAGCACCATCCTTATCATCGTCATCAGCATCAGCATGAGCACCATCATCATCATCATCATCAGCAGCAGCATCATCATCAGCATCAGCATCAGCATCAGCAGCACCATCATCATCATCATCATCGTCATCAGCATCAGCATCAGTATCATCATCATCATCGTCGTCGTCGTGGTCGTCATCATCATCATCATCATCACACTAATAATAATCATCATCATCACCATCATTGTCATCGTCATCGTCAGCATCGTAGTCATCATCACCACCAACATCATCAAAATAATCATCAAAAGCATCATCACCGTCGTCGTGATCATAATCATCAGTATCATCAGCATCATCAGCAGCAGCATGATCATCAGCGTCATCATCATCAGCATCAGCAACATAAGCATCATCAGCATCATCAAGATCATCATCGCCAGCATCAGCATCAGCATCATCACCATCATCAGCATTACAATCACCACCATCATCTTCACCACAAGCAGCAGCATCCTTATCGTCATAAGCATCGTCGTCGGCATCATAGCATCATCATCAGCATCAGTATCAGCATCAGCATCAGCAACAGCATCAGCATCGGCATCATTATCGTCATCAGCATCAGCATCATTAGCACCATCAACATCAAGGTAAGGACGCTACCTGGAGGCCCCATTCTACCTTGCTGTCCCTACCCTCTTGTACGGACCTTAGCTGGAGGCCCCATGGGGGGGGGGGGGGCGGGAAACGGGAAACGGGAAACGGGAAACCCCTCCGGCTTCAGAATACCTAGGAATACGGATTCCAGTCCGACCCTTCCACCTCCGCACTGGAGTCGACCACGCAAACGCGAGGAAGCACCAGCGAGGCTCCAGCAACCATAGGGAACCCTAGGGAATCCATAGGGAATCCTAAGGAATCTATAGGGAAACCCTGGGGAATCCATAGGGAACCCTGGGGAATCCATAGAGAACCCTAGGGAATCCATAGGGAACCCTAGGGCATCCATAGGGAACCCTACGAAATCCATAGGGAACCCTGGGGAATCCATAAGGAACCCTAGGGAATCCGTAGGGAACCCTAGGGAATCCATAGGGAACCCTAGGGCATCCATAGGGAACCCTACGGAATCCATAGGGAACCCTAGGGCGGACAGGTAGTAGTAGTAGTAGTAGTAGTAGTAGTAGTAGTAGTAGTAGTAGTAGTAGTAGTAGTAGTAGTAGTAGTAGTAGTAGTAGTAGTAGAAGTAGTAGTAGTAGTAGTAGTAGTAGTAGTAGTAGTAGTAGTAGTAGTAGTAGTAGTAGTAGTAGTAGTAGTAGTAGTAGTAGTAGTAGTAGTAGTAGTAGTAGTAGTAGTAGTAGTAGTAGTAGTAGTAGTAG